GCTCTCTTGGGTCTGCTGCCCCTGACCTGCATTTAGTCTGACCACAGGTCCCCACTGCTCCCACCCCCCTCTTACCTCTTCCTTCCTCCATCCCTGCTTGTTAATTTGCTTGTTTTTCGTCTTCACTAAAGGGCAAATCCCTATAAACCTCTCCCTCCCCAATAAACAAACCCAAGTAGAAGTTAATTATGTTTATAAATAGATATAAGACTGACTTCTTTAACAAATGCAGCAAACCATTAAATTTATAAATACTTCTGTGTAGCAAGGCTCTAAGTGTCCTGGGGGGTATATAGAAAAGGTCTTTAGAAAGTCACATGTTAAAAATAAAGCCCAAAAAAGATTATCACTACACACTAGCTAAAATGACAGTAATGGAAAAGACACTGCCCAGTGTTGATGGCATGGATATGGAGAACCTGGAACCATCATGCACTGTTAACAGTAAGGTCAAGTAACGCAGACACTTAGAAAAAGAGTTTAGAAAGACCTTAAACAGTGAAATCTAAATTTCCTGTGCATATTCCTAGCATCATTATTCACCTTTGCCCAAACAGGCTATGGCCAATCTAAATGTCCATCAGATGGTAGATGACTGAACAAAATGTGGTGTATTCATAAATTGGAATATTACCTAGCAAGGAAAACAAATGAAATTCTGATAAAACGCCACAACATATGGAGGAACCTCAAAAACATTATGGTAAGTGAAAAATGCTGCCAGAAACAAAGTCTCCAATTATCTGATTCCATTTATATGAATCTAGAAAATGCAAATTGTAGAAACAGCAGGTTTGGTGGTTGCCTGGGGCTATGGATGAAAGCTGGAATTATCTGAAAATGGCTATAAGGAAATTTTTTGCAATATTGGAATTGAGGTAAAAGTGGATTATAGTGGTGGCTACCCAGCTCTATGCATTTACTAAAATCATTTAATCACACAGGTACAGTAGGGAAATTTTATAAAAGGTAAATTCTACCTCAATAGGCTGTTCATTTTTTTATATTTTAGTAAGGTTTATAGCATACTTAAATAATTGATAGGGTTTTTTTCCTTATGTAAGTAGACAGGCACAGGCCCTTGGGTTCCTCAGGGAACCATCAGGGTGATTTTCCAGTACCACCAAGGCACTCTGCCTTTTTCACGATCTTGACATTTACACCCTTGGTGCCAGAACCACAGGAGGTAAAACTGCAGGTGCCCTAGCCTAAGTCAAGGCAGTGGCATGAAGCCGTGTCTGTGTTTGCTGTGGTTCAGGTACGGTTTGTCCCCAAAGGTTCATAAGCTGGAGGCCTGAGCCTCAGTGTGGTGGTGTTGAAAGGCAGGAGGACTTCTAAGAGGTCAACCTAGAGTGAGATAAGAGGAAGTTAGCCACGGGGTAATGCTCATGAGGGATTAGTGCTGGCCATGGGATCAGTTCACTCTCCAGAGTGGGCTGTTACAATGAGGCCACCCCACACACTTAGTCCTTCTGTGTGGGGCCCTTTCCATTTCCCCGCCATATTGTCACTCAGCCAGTGGGCCCTTACTTGAAACCAATAGATGGGACTTTCAAAACTGAGGTAGGTAAACCTCTTTATCTGCAAATTACCCAACTCCAGGAATCTCATCACAGCAAAGGAAAATGGAATAATACAGCATATTATATTTACCGCCCCACCATGGACTTATGGTAGAAAAACAAATTCACTTTCACTCAAGAATGGTTTTGGTGAAGCAGTACAAATTACTTAATTTATTAAGTCTGTGACATGGTTGCATATGTTTGAGGCACTGGGGTTTGAACTCAGGGCCTTGTGCTTGCTAGCAAGGCAAGCATTCTACCACTTGAGCCACTGCACCAGCATGTTTTGGATACTCCTGTGATGCAGTGTTTGCACACAGCATTTCTTCCACATACCCAAGTAAGATGGTTATCATGAGAAGAAGCACTTGTGCAGTTGACTGAGTTGCAAGCTGGACTAGCAGCATTTTTATGAGATGTTATCTCTGCTTTAAAGGAAGTGCCTGGTAGTCTCATTATGGATATTCAGACCTGGGGATTTGGCAAATCAGTTTCTCAAGAATGAATGAAGAGAGCCTGTCACTGCAAAGGAAATAATTGACAGGGGTTTTTTGTGCCAGTGATAAAAATTCAAACTTTAATCCAAAAACTGGAATTTTGGAAGACTTCATTCCAGTACCATGAGCTTGACAACTCTGGTTAAGAGTTTCCTGGCGAGATGGATTTCACCAATGTGATATTTTCATATTATATAATAAGCATGTCCAAGTTTGAACAATATAAGGCAAAAGGGTATTTATTGACGCTAACATTTGAGAACTGTTAACCTGGTGGCAAATCATGTGATCTCAGGTGAGTTCTTCACCTCTCCATGTCTCAGCTCACTCCTAAAATAGGGATAATACGCCAGGCGAAGTGGCTCCCAGCACTTGAGAAGTTGAGGCAGGAGGATCACAGAGTGAGGCTCGCCAAGGTACATAGTGAGACCCCCATCTCAAAAAAAAGGGGATAGTAATGGTACCTAAGAGAGGTACTGTAGTCATAAAATGATTAGATAGATAAATAGATTTACAAGCACTAAAATGTAGATATACGTAAATCACTTAGAATAGTGGCTGACTTACAGTAAATGCTCAGTAAATTGCTATTGGTTATGGTAAGCAGTAACTGACAAAAATGAGTAAATACATTATAAACATGTAATAAAATTTTTGGTAATTACATATATATGTAAAGTATAATATACATGTACATTACATAGGTAGACAGGGTTTTTTTAACTGAAGTTGCCTCCCCTCCTCTTTGGTCCTGTTAGTTCACGTCTGTGGATGCCATGCTGCTGAGGACTGCCTGTTCTCAACCCTGACTGCACTCTGAGCCTCTAGTGTTTGGGGGTTCATTCTTAACAACCACATAGAAGGTTTTTAAGGAAGATTCGATGAGGCAGTGTAACTGTGAAGGGTACAGTTTAATAAATTGAATACAAATAGATTATAGTCAGAGATCATTTGTGTTCTTAGAAATAGAAGTGGCTTTCCTGCCTCAGCAGTATTGAAAATTACAACATATCATTTAAGCTTAAAGGGTTTAGGGGGTTGGTTATGTGACTAGGAAAAAAGGACGTGTGCCATATCTTGCTCGTTTTCCAGTATTTAATCTAAGAGGACATACAGTTTAAGGGCAAAAATGATCAGCTTGGAAGTAACCTATGTCTTCAGCCCCACAGAATAACTGTGAGCTGTTTTCATCTCTGGCTTTTAGAAAGAAGTCAGTCATCTGCTGACACCGCTCATTCACTCTGCCCATAAGGGTTCAGCATTTCCACAAGGCCAGGCATCACAGCCCCAGGGACAAAGAGAAGACACGGGCCCCATGCTTCTGAAGCTAGCTCTTTCGTTTCTTCTTCCTGTTTTGTAAAAGATACAACAGTCATCTCTTGTTCCCTGCCTACCTCAGCCCAGGGATGGTATATATTCTACAATTCTTAAATGTTCACAAAAGCATTCTTAATTTTAGTATAGGGTAGGATAGGTAAGATGGTCTAGAGGAGAATTATGACTGTTTCTTAAGCAAAATTACTGTATTTTTTTTTTTAGAATACTAATGCCATGCTCATATTTGATAGTAAATAACAACCAGAATGAAAGTCACCGGAATTTCACTTTCTTAAATAGTGTCTGCTACCCTTGGAGAAATCTGAACACAAATGACTCCACTTTGGGACATGTGTTTTATGTGTCATTCCCTATCATTCCGCCTGTGGTGACAGTGTTGAGCAGGCCCACAGTGGTTTTTATTCCTCACCATAGATGGGCTCTTAAATTATGGCCATAACGCCAGTGTATATAATGACATGGTAAGAAGGCTTAGAATATTCTTTCCTTTCATTTTAGGGGTATGTTTTGCAAGCAAATTATAAAGCACTTTGAATATATTTCTCTTAAAAAACAGAATGGTAGTCTTACTAATATGGTGTGTTTACTGATATCCTGGCTTATTATGATTTGAGAAAATTCTTTCCTATGTGGCTGGTATGCTGGGAATAAGAAATCATGTCAAGATAAAAGCCAAAGAGGTTTTCCTCCTCCTCCTCCTCCTCCTCCTCCTCCTCCTCCTCCTCCTCTTCCTCCTCCTGCTCCTCCTCCCCTTTCTTTGCCCTGCTCCATTCTCTTCCCCCCCCTCCTTTCTTCTTCAGTGGGATTTGAACTCATACTAGCTAGGTAGGCACTCTTCCACTTGAGCCATGCCCCTGACCCTTTTTGCATTACTTAGTTTTCAATTAGGGCCTCCCATTTTTGCTCTGGGCCTGCCTCAGACCTCTATCCACCTAATTAGGTCTCCAACATAGCTGGCATCACAGGTGAGTGCATTGACATTGGGTCTCACTAACTTTTTGCCCAGGGTGGCCTGAAACTGCAATCCTCCCAATCTCTGCATGCCATTTAGTTGGGATTACAGGCATGAGCTATTATGCCAGTCCCTAAAGAAGCACTTCTAGAATATAGGCTCATAGTAAATGTTATTAATCCAATGAAATTCAATCCCAATATTTGTTGTGGGGTGAAGGTATTAATTCTTTTTAGTAATGGCTGAGGTCTTGTGCAAACTTTGTGTCTCAATAACTGCAGATGTCTCTTACAAGTAGAATGAAGTCAGTTAACCTGGGCAAGTAGACAGTGGTGGTGATTGTACTGCCAGTTCTGTTTTTGACACTGGAGTCTTTGCTCTTGGAGTCTCTCATTGCTAGAATTGAAGAATCTGCACACAGCAGAGTTGTATCTGTGCTAAAACTAATTCCTCCTTTCACAATAGTGTTTAAATGTCTGATAGGTTCGATCTGAGCTGTGTCACATCTTTGCCAAGGACCTTTATCCTTGGGAGGTAGCCAGCTGTGATGGAGGGTCCTACGTGGCTCCTGCTAACACTGCAGTGATGAAAATGTCTTCTCCCACATACTCCCACATTCTGACCTTGTCTGTTACTTGTGTGTTTCAGGAAAAAAGTGCCAGCTCAAATTCGAGACTTAAAACTAATAAAGAAATTCCTGGATTAGTTCATCAACCCAGAGCAAAGTAAGTCCTAGTTCTTGTTTTCCTTGTATTGTTTTAAAACTAAAAATGCTTTCAGGCATTTTGTCTAGTATGTAGTCATGATTTATTCTAAGGCTTTAATAATTGAGATAGTGTAGCCGCCAAAGAGAGTCTCAAAACACCCACATATCAAAGCTGACAGTTCGGCCAGTTGAAAGAAAATAAAGAGGGTTGCCTTTATAATCATGGGAGAGGGAAGAATTTTGAATAAGACACAAAAGATGTTCAAAACTTAAGGAAAATCATTATAGCTACACTAAAATAAGAACCTCTGTTTATCAAAATATACTGTAAGACAGTTAAAGGCCACAAAATGGAAGAAGACCATATAAATGACAGCAGTTGGGTTTACAGAATATAGAAAATAATTGTACAAATGAGTGAGTGAAATACAGAGAACCCAAGAATAAAAGACTAAACACATGAACAGCCACTTAACTGAAGAGGACGCGTGAGTAACTGGTAGATATGAAAAAAAACGTCACGTCCTATCACCAACCCAGCAGAAGTTACAAGGCTGCCACAGAATGCAGGTTGGCCAGGATGTGGAATGAGCATAATCCCTTTTGGTGGGAATCCACCCTGGTTTAATTTTTTTGGAAAGCAATTTGCATTATCTAGTGAATGGAAGCTAGGCATATGTCACCCTCTAGCAGTTCCACTCCCAAGTGTATGCCCTTGAGAAGCTCTCACAGCATTTGTGCCAGGAGACATATTTTAATAAGCATTGCTCACATGAGCTCTTGAAGGTAAACACCACCAAAATACTAAGGTAGAAGGGAGAAAAATAGATGACATGAACCAATTCAGTTTATAATACTTACATACATGAAAATGTCACAAGGAAACTCCCTATGAAGCTATCTTAAACAAACAAAAACACATTTTTTTTCCAATAATGGAGAACAGGAAAGGTCCTGTCTGGGGTTTGGTACCAGTGGAAGAGGGAGGCTATAAGGAAAAGGTGAAGGAGGGTGAATATGTTGGAAATATTATTTAGTCGTGCATGAAAATGGAAAAATGAAACCTGTTGAAACCATTCAAGGAATGGGGGAAGGAGGGATAAAGGAGAATGATGCAGGGGGTAATTCAAGTATGGTATATTGTGAGAACTTTGGTAAATTTCTCAGTGTACCCCCAGTACAACAATACTGTGATAATAAAAATAATTAATAAAACAGCATGTACAAAGTATGTGTGTGTGTATACATATGTATGTGTGTATGTATATACACACATACATATAATGGTTAGCTAAACTGTGGCCTATTCTTACAATAGGAATAACCATAACTCCACATGAAGTAATGTCACAGGCAGTATAGTAAGTCACAGTATGTGCCAATGTATGTTAGTATTTATATAAAGTTCAAAAACAGACAGAAATAGGCAATGTTTTGTGTATAAGCATATAATAAATGCAATAAAGAAAAACCAAGAGATAAAAAGGCATTAAATTCAGAATAGTTGGGAGACTGGGTCCAGAGTATCTGTCTCTTAATCTAGGTGGTATTTACATGAGTAGCCTTTTAACTGTTATTCAGAAATGCACGAATAATATTTTTATGTTTTTATATGTTGTGCGTTTCACCATTAATTTTTTTAAGATAATTTTAAGAAGGAGAAGCTCTCGTTAACAGATTATATCACATGAGGCTGTGAACAGGGCCCGGTGCACTTCCCTAACGGAGTTCCTCCTTGCAAATATGATTGTGAGTTACTAACAGATGACCAGCTATAAATGTTTTGCCAAAATATCAAATGCATTTTTAAAAAGTTAACATGAGTAGTGACTGGTTTTCTAGATTGTTCTAGAACTGACTCTACCTTGTGACTATGAAGCTATCCTCTTCTTTCTTAAAAGAAACTCTGTTGTCCCAGAGGCTGCTGTGGTTCCACCTAACCACAAATATTCCCTGACCATACCAATGACAGAGGCCTATTTGACAAAGTCACCTCCTACCCCAAAATAAATTGGACTTTTCTATGTAAGTAACAACTCCATAAATCAAGATGATTAAGCAGGAAAAGCCTTGTTGTCTCTTCACCCTCCTAAAAAATTGAGACAAAAATAGCCTACCTCATAATCACTCTAACCTGGCCGCCATCTGTGGATTACTACAACTGTGTTCCTAGTGCCATGGTTAAGGTGCCTTGGGGGCAGGGAAAGGGCTCAGTGGTTTAATTTTCTCTTTCAAAGAAAACTGAAGATTTTACAATGCACTTACGGCTTAAATGTCAGTAGAATTATGTGATTGAATTTTTTCACCATCAGGTACATGCTGTTCTGTAGCCGTGCCCTTCCCTAGTCTGCCTTAACTATTAATCACTTTTATGTGCTGTGTCTGCTATTGGGGACAAAAGATACCTGACAACACAGCCACAGCACCCTTCCACCCAAGCCCTTTGAAACAGACTGTTCTTGTTTTGTTGTTTGTTTGTTTGTTTGTGGTACTGGGACTTGAACTCAGGACCTGCACCTTGAACCACTCTTTTTTTGTGTCATGGGTTTTTTCAGGATGGAGTCTTATGAACTATTTGCCCAGGCTGGCTTCGAACTACAATTCTCCTGATCTTTGCCTCCTGAGTAGCTAGGATTACAGGCATGAGCAACCAGCACCCAGCAAAACAGACTATTCTTAAATGCCTCCCTGTCTCTGGGTTACATGGAGAGATCAGATGGAGGAGTACTTCTCTGTTCCCATAGAGAGAGTACTTGAACTTCAACACACCGAGCCACGCACTGCAGCCTGGCACATGTGCCATCTTTCAGAGTTTCTTAAATTGGCTCACGTGTTTACAGAAAAATTATGAACAAAGCCCTCTGTTGTCCACACAGTCACACAGTCACATGCTGGTGTGTGTGTGTGTGTTTTAAATTGTGAATCAGAAAATGTGTGCTTGGAATTCAACTAAGAAATCTTTCTGGCTGAGGTGAGTGCTTGCCTAGTATATTCAAGGCCCTGGGTTCAATTCCCAGCACCTCAAAAAAAAAAAAATTCTTTCTGGAGAGTCAAGGGAAAAGTTTTACTTTTCCAGCTGTTGACATAGAAGATCAAAGAAACCATCGTTTACTATGCAGATGTATAAAATGAGACAAGCAAGGGCTTTGAGTGTAGCACAGGGGTAAAGTACTTGCCTAGCATGTGTGAAGCCCTGGGTTTGATTCCCTGTACCACCAACAGTTAGATAGATGATAGATAGATAGATATAGTCAGATACCCAATATGAGATGAGATGGCGTAAGGCAGTGAGATGCCTTTCTCCCATGAGTGGAAGGACAATCCTGTCCCATAAGGACTAGTAACCCTCATATCTTCATGTAACGCTGCACACAGTACTTCTCCTTAGTGCCTTTGTTCTCTTGAGTGGATGACCTAAGTAATTCTTCGAGTTTCAGTTTTCTCAAAGAGAATTGAAAGTAAAAAATACTGTCTTATAAGGCTCAGTGTATGACACTGTGTAGTGAGAAAAAAATCCAAATGCCCATTTAAAGGGGCTGGGTTCCCTCCATGGAAGGTTAGTCTGCTAGCACACTGGCAATATAACATTGATCGTAAGTTAGTACAATATAGGCTTACAGAGAGCATGACGCACTGTTTATAAAGTTAAAAAGCAAACATCGTAGATAATTGGCTTTTTAAAAGCACACGTGGAAGATAAAGTAAAGCTTTACAAAAGGCATGTGATGGTTACGCTGGGGTGAGGAGATGCGCCCAGATGGGAGCTAACCTAGAGTCAGTGTATCTGCTGGTCAAGTTCCAGCTGTCGTTCTTCCTTTTGATTTCATGGTGCTTCTGATACCATTTTTTGAAAACAAAGTAATTAACTAAAAAGTGAGCGATACATGAACTACTAGTAGGAGTCTGTCATGAAATGCAGATTAGGATGAATTCACTTCCCTGAGTTCCAACTAAAAATGGAAGACGAATTGTAAAGAAATAGCCATGTGCAGGTCAAGATTTACCAGGAAAACAATGGTAACTCAATTTCATTTTGCAGGTGTAGGGAAAGCAAAGCTTTACTCTACCCTTTCTGTGTTTCCAGCTGGATCTGAGAATTAAATTGACATAAGACAGGCTAAGAAGAGAAAAGCATACAGATTTTTATAAGGCCCTTGGAGGCCCCAAAGGAAAATGAAGATCCAAAGAAGTAGCAGAACCTAAGTGTTCATATACTAGATGGTACAAAAAGAGGCAATTGTAGAAAAGTGCCTGAAATATACAAGGAAACAAAGGAAGGTTAGGTAGGAATTATTATAGCCAGGTCTGTTTGTATGAATTTCTCTTGGCTCCAGTCCACCGTCCCCTTCTCCCCATCGCTCCTAGAGGCAGGAATTTCCTTCTTTCTGGTATAGGGAGGGTATCTCTCACACGTAAGTATTATTTCTTGCTTTCTGGAAGAAATGGGGAGGACAGAGTTTCCCTCCTGCTCTTGCCCTTTTTCAAGCATATTTAGCTCAAAATAATCAATGTGCCAAAGTAGCATATTTTGGAGTGGTATTTTCCAGTGTCATTCACAGGTGAAGGTATTAGTGAATTAGGACCTTGCGTCCTTCTTTTTTTGTATATGTGTGGCTTAGGTTTTTATTATTTGGAAACTTTACTAGTAAGCCACTAGAAAAGAAAATTGTCTTTTAATTCTGAAGCATATTTTGTCCACCATTCCTTAATTTGATTACTTTGCATTGAGAGTCCATAGTGGAGAAGTCACAGAAAGAAGAGCCTTTGAAGTTTCAGGGTAAGTAACAGTTTTTCAGTGCTAACGGGGCATAAGAAGCAATCCAGTGGAGCACTGTGTTTTACAAGGTTGGGTTTTAGTAGTAGAAAGAAATAGAAGTTATCAAATTATTGAACTTTATTAAGTAAATCAGATGCCAGTATGAACTTTTGTAAAGCCTAATGAATCTTAGTCATGTTGTATAAACTTAAGTCATAAACAACTCAGTTATCCCTTTCTGTTATTTTGAGGAAAAATAGGGAAGCCAGTGGGGTTTCCTTCTCTTGTCTCCCCACTTACAACTATCAAATTCTGCATCAGAAAGAATTTAAGAGTTAAGTTGATACACAGGACCTGCTCCTCACAGTACAGTTTGTAATCCCGAAGACACACACTAACAGTAATGCTGCTCTACTGGTAAGATTTCCCCACGGGAACGGGGTCCATGTTTATCCAGGTGAGAAGCCATTGACATGGGGCAGTTTATGTCTTCAGAGTAAAAATTCTGCCTCTATCCTGTGGAAGAGATTTTTCTTCTTCCCTCTGGAATGACTCCATGGAGACCCACTCCTTGAGACGTCCACAGGTGACTGGGTCTCATGTGGGCTTTTGCTCCTCTGATGGTGCGTGTCACACTCCCATGACAGTTATCTAAGAGCTCATCTAGTGCATGAGGCCTTGATGATAACAAGTCTGTCTTCCATTCACTCACTTTTATACACAGTGGGCATACTGTAGAGTGAATCTACCCGGTATGGGTTACTGAGCGGGGAAAGGTGAACAGGCATGTCCTGATGCTCTCAGCTGAATGAAGAGCGGGCAGCATCTCCCTACCAGTGGGATGGTGCAAAACTGATATCACTGAGACTTTTGTGTGTCCATCTCCCTATGTGTCCTGAAATTTGGCCTTCACCTTCAGTCTCAAGCTCCTCATACAGATAGACCCTTGAGCCTGTGATAATTGCATCATGATCACAGAGATGGCAGACACATTTGCAGAATGAAGATGTCCCCTCTTGTCTCTTTGATGTGCATATGTATGAGGGCTAACTAAACATTGCTGTTTTCATGTTGTGATAATTAAACAAAGGAGCAAGTGGAAGTTAATAACAACTGTAGACTGTTCACAGAAGAAGTGACCTCAGAGACCAGCTCCTGGCTTATGTAGGTGAGAGAGCTGAGGCTCTGCACCTCTTCCGTGCTCACAAACTGTGCTGTCACTGGGAGGGACCATGAATCGCACTAATTTAAGTATACTGTCAGATAATTAACAAATAGTTCTTGCTTCCCTGTTATGTGCAAGGGAATATATGTTCCAACCAGGAAGTTTCCACATGAATATCAAATCCTAAAGATGTCATTTTTATGAGGTCTTTGGAATTTCTTAGGGAGACTACATGTATCTATATGGTTCCTAGTTATCTATATTAAGATGTGTAACTTTACCTTAATGGTCTTCCATCTGGGACCTTCAGCTGCCCAGAAACCTCCTCTGTTGAGAGCTCGGCCAAAAACAGGAAGAACCAAAGAGTGCCTCATCAGCCAACATGATGCCAACATGGTGTCATAACTGTGACAAAATACCCAACAAAACAAATTAGAAGGAGGAAAGATTTATGATTTCAGAGGGTTCAGTCCATGGTCGCTTGGCCCCGTGCATGTGGGCAGAGCATCATGGTGGCAGGAGTATGTAGAGGAGGAGGCTGATCACCTCATTGTGGACAGAAAGCGGAGAGAATGAGGAAGGCACTGGGGACCAGAAATAACCTTCAAAGTCACATCCCCAGTGCCCCACTTCCTCCTCCAGCTAGGCCCTACCTCCTACTTTCCAAAACCTCAAAAAAATAGTGCCACCAGCTAAGGACTAAGAGTTCAGTACATGAGCCTGTCGGGAACACATCGTATTCAAAGCATAACAGAGCCTGACAAACATGGCTGGGCTATTTCCAAGCCTGGAGTAGAAGCAGCATCTGGTAGGAAAGTTGTCAGAGCACCTCTTTGACAAGAAGAGATGAGAAAAATCTCAAAAGCAAAGAGCAAAAGCCCTGGGCTTTGAGACAATTTTTCTCAAAGCCAGCCAACTCTGCCCAAGCTACTATCTCTGGGTACCATTATCAGAGAAGAGTGTTATGACGTTAGATCACAGGAATGGCCGCAATCAGCAAGTGAACGTTAAGGCAGGTTTGTAGTGAGTCATCTATTGAGTATGCATTTTGAAAGGTTTGTAATCAGAATGGCTCAAATTTTTTTTAAACTTTTTTGGTGCTTCAGGAAGTATAACCATGAGGAATCAGAAAAGTCAGTACATAAAAATGGCTTTTCTTCTTAAGATTCTCATCATCACAAATTCTGCTCTTCCTTTCAAACCTACAGAAGAGAGGGAATTGCCAAACAGAAGGTTTCCCTTATTTGAATAATCTTATAAAGGAGGGCAGAATTACATGATATGTGTGAAAACACTTCGTAAACTGTGAAGTGATTAATGGTGTCAGGTATTTCCTTTTCTATCAGAACTGATGTCTTGTGCTCACAAGTTTTAAATTGTGGCTTTACACATGGGGAAACCTCCCGCTATTTGGAAGCCGGCAGAGTTTTGTCACTTGTGCCCCTAAGGTGTGAGTCTCAATGGTAAGGGGTACAGCAGATGGGCTTCTCCCTCCCCGCATGTAGCTTGAAGGGAAGAAGCCATTGTGTAGCTCACCCTCAGTCCCACCTCCAGACACTAGAACCAATAGGCACTAACAGTAACTGAGAGGAATGCTGTATGTATGTATCTCACCCAATGTCCTTAATCTGCTTTTAACGCCCACAGAAACAACTATCATTAAGACCAGGTTACCACTGAGGTAATCGCTACACCCTTCCCATCTGTGATTCTTCTCTGCCCACCTTGCCTTCTTATGTTTAATCCCCACCAACTGTGTCAACCATCTGAGGAGGCTGTTGAGTAACATAGGACAGGCAAACATAGGTCAAGTGCTACTTGGGTGTGCTTCATGAAATTTCCCAAAATTCCAGTGGAATTTCATTTCCAAAGAGATGCATTTGCCGTTACCAATTTAGAAAGAATTCGGGACAAAGTCAGTCCATCACTGTGTTCTCTGCTTGTTTGTTTTCAGTCCTACCTACAGTCAGCTGGACACCATGTTGTGCTGACAACCTCTATAAAATATGTTTCAGTATAACTGGGATAAATTTTCTTTTTATGTTACACATAGGGTTGGAACATACCATGTGCTACCTGCCCTTGCTTTATTTCTTCTTAAATCATAAATGTTTGGCTCATACCTCCCAGTAGTATTACTATAAATAACATCTGTACATTGAAAGGAAATTGTATTTCTTAAATCATAGGTGTGGATAGACTATTATGAAATATATTTGCAGGATTACTGTAGCAACATTTATTCTTAATGTAACATTAAAATATTTCAGTGGAAAAGTCTACAACATATAACTGTCTGCTCAAAGTTTAGAGATTTATCACTTTTAACTTGAGGACTAGGTTTAAGAAATTATTGAAATATGCTGTTAACCACTCTGTGTTTTTCAGCATGCACATCTCTGAAAGCCAACAAGAATTCTTCAGAATGCTGGATGAAAAAATTGAAAAGGTAAGAAGTCAAATAAATGGACTACAGATTTAAAGGGAAATATACTAATTGCTCTACAAATTAGGATAACAATATTCTTGTGTCTGTGTTCTAAAGCTCTTTGTAAGTAGTCAAGTAGAGAGTTAAAAAGAGGGGGTGGGGGCCTGGCTCAAGTGGTAGAGCCCCTACCTAACAAGCTTAAGTCCCTGAATTCAAACCCTATACCACAAAAAGTATGCATGAAGATGCTTGATGTGCAAGAGTCCCCAGGATCCTGTACTGCTCCCCACTCATTAAAGTGTGTAAAGTCAGGCAGAGACAAGTAAACAGCCTTTGCCTAGACAGCGAGTTCTTACTGTGTATCACTTTGTACCTGATGCTGCTGGAACCTCAGAAGCTAGGAGTTCCTTACTGCCCCCAAAAAACGCAAGCAAGTATTTACCATATGCCTGATACCACGCTGAGTTCCTTACAAACATACCTGTTTCAGTTAATATCTGCCTCAGGGTGATGCATGATTGTGTCTACCCCACACCTCCAAAGTGGCATGACAGATAGTACGCATGGGTGTTACCATGGTCAGAATACTCAAGTGACTCATCCAGAGTCTCATGTCTGTGTGGAAATGGAGCCTATCATTTTGATCTCAGAGTGCCATGTGCTAATGAACTGAGTGAAGTATGGAATATGACAATAATTTAGGGCTTATATATTTATAGAATTTAAATCCATCACTGCAAGAAGTGAATTTTAAGTGTTAATCTTACAGATATGAGTATTAGAATTTATGGACTTGATCTAAAGAAGAATAAAATACCAAATTCAGAACCCGTTGCACTATGGTTAAGGCACCAAAAGCCAATTTTACAATCTTTTCCATTTTAATTTTTGTTTCTTTTTTATTGTTTGTGACCCTTTTATCTGAGCATTCTTTGTGAATTTCTGAGCTAGGATGTAGCAGAAGATAATGAAAGAGGTCCTAAATTCCTCAGTGTTCCAACAGCAGCCCCACTTTGAGGGAGCCCCAAGAGAGAATAATTGTATTATCTCTGCTGCATTAAAAGATAATCAAATAGCAAGATTGTAAAAAATAGAGGTGGGTGATGAATTAAACAATTTACTCTGTGGTATCCCTGGCTGTGTACATTTAAGAGTGTAGTAATTTTTTTTATTTTCAGTGAAGTTTTGGATTATGCATGACTTTTTAGATTGAAAACTTCATCTAGGAGCAATTACCACGTTTCTCATATTGGTTCAAAAGCTGTTCAGCTTGCTGATACATTTTGTTTTAGTAAAGAGACATATAAAGAGAAATATTTTGTTCCCACTATAATAATAAAGATCTTTTCTCTTTCTGTTTGTTTGGGGGTTTTCCCTACTAGCTTTTTGGCAATAAAAAGATTTGTCAAGCAGTTAGAGGAAGAATTGAAACCTGAATGTTGTTATCTTTTTAAAACAACATCTAGAAACTCTGACAAGGCATTTAAGATGATTTCATCTCTCTCCAGCATATTTCTGTATTGAAATTTTACTCCTTTACTCAAAACTGAAGTGCATTGCTCCCATCTGAAACCGAATTTTCCTTTTCCTTTTGCATCCACACTATAGAGTATGATGTGTTTAGTACAACAAAAACAAAGTTTATAATGTGATCATTCATTGGCTGGAACCAACATTGCTATATACTATATACATATACATATATATATTTATAGTGATGCTGGGGATTGAACCCAAGGCCTTGTGCATGCTAGGCAAGCACTCTACCACGAGCTGTACCCCATCCTGAATAAATTTAGATTTAAAGAAAAGCTGCTACTTCATGTGACATGACCCCCAGTTGTTTTCTATGGAGAATTTTCTAGCCTGTCTGAGTTAGGCTTTTCTGTTTCTCCTCTCCTACCTAAAATTCATCCTTCTGAATATTTTCAGTATGCTGTCCTATTTATTGTTTAAACATTAAACCTCCAACAATTAAAATTCTCCTTCCTAGTATGTATTTGGCTTAATGTGATCCTTTCCATAGTTTATATAGCCAAAATTAAAACTTGGAGTCTTTTTTAATAAAATTTTTATTAGGATGTATTCATTATCTAGGGGGAGATTCATAGTGACAATTCGAATTAGACTTCTCTTGTACATTAGTTACATCACCCCCATTCTCCAAGGTTTTTAGCCTTTGGTAAATATTTACTTGTCCAAAGGCTGTCATGAGGACAACCATAAATACAGCTCAAATGTATTCTTTAAGTTTCATAGCATTTAGTTGAAAAAAAAACGGTTAAAATCACCTAGAGCTGCACACTGGGAGCTTGAGTCATGCTGGGAGGTCTTCAGTTTTAAGATTCCATCTCTTCCAGTAATGTTCAGGAATTTGCTTTTTCTTCCTTTAATTGTGAAGAGACAAAAGTGAACCTGTGGAGATGAAAACCTGTCCTTCCTTGACTCTTCCACCACATTTATTGAACTTTGTAAGGCATGGTTTGAATTTGTCTTCCAACTCTCCTTTCTGGATACCAAACAGATTTCTGTCCTGTGACCCCCCAAAATAGACGTAAAAGCGCAACTGATAAACTGAAGGTAGAATTGTTTGATGATTCAACGTTCATAAAGAGATTTACTTTGAAGTCATTTTGACCTATTCGACTTTAGAGTTTGTCACAGTACAGGGCAGCACCGTAGTGGACAAGCGGTTTTCTAGAAAGTTAATAGTGAGTATCCCCCACCTAAAAAAAAAAAAGTAACTGAAAAAAATCAATTCAGCACCTACTGGTTTCTCAGGAAACAAAAATTAGTAGGAAAAATAAATGGAAAAAAAGTCCCTTGCCTTGGTAAGTTCCATTTTTAAGGCGAGTGTCTTTAAAACGTAATTATTTTACTAGTGAAAGAGTCCATCATCCATCACCACTAGCTTCCTCACCCCCATCCCCATTCTTGCTGACACGCAGATTCTCCTGTACAGAACACAAGTCACTGATTCAGGTGTTAAAACTTCAGATCTATGAGCCAGCTTTCAGGACATGTGGTCCCACTTCGCTGTGCTGGGAGGAGCACATGGCAGTACACTGCATCTGGAGATGACCAAGGGAGAAATGTGGTCCAGCAAACAGTGAAGTTCAAAGGAGCTTTATACTCCGTCTGACTTACTTTTGCTTTCGCTTTTGGAGAGCACAAATACTATGAACCAACAGGAGCCACTTACTTTATTTTTGCCACACTATTTCCTACTCTGATGTCTCCCCACTATTCCACTGGAATCTGTAGTTATTAACTGTAATTGACAAGACACAGGCTCCTCAAGTTTTATTTGAAGTGTTACTTGCCTAAATTTGAAGCTTTAAGAAAATGACAGTTTGCTGCAGAGTAAGGTAGTGATTTGTAACTTGAGTCTTTCACTGTATCTAGAGGAAAAGCAAGTGTCTAGATTAAAAACTGGTCCAGACAGAAGTTTCTGAACATAGTACTAAACATAGGTAACTTCAGATTTTAAGGTACGTGTTCAACTATACATTTCAGTTTGTCTAGAAGAAGCAGAAAAAGTAAGTAAAAATTTTAAGTGTCTTGCAATAACAATACCTCTATAGGCGAAGAGGAGGATTTATATTTGGCTCTATGAGGATGTGAGAATTCAGTTGATGACTGGGGAATCTTTTGATCTCTCAAAGACCTGAAGTATTTAATAAAGAACACCTCAGTGCAGTTCATTTGCACCAGTTTGGGTTTTCTGATGGAAGTCTTCAACTTTGTGGAGCCATGGGCATCTTTTTGAGATAAAAGTTGTGAAGTCTCTTCCTACAAAAATGTACATAATGTCTTGTACACAAAATCTTTACCTACAATTTCAGAGCTCTGTTGCTCCATGGAATCTGTCCACGGGCTCCAGCAAAGAACTTCTGTTTCTTGCTTGTGCATTTTATTGAGGACCCACCTGCACCCACATGCGCTCAGAGGCTTAAGGAATGACCTTACCATGTGTATCTTTGACTTTAAAGAAAATTAGGAAATGAATACAAACCCATTCTTCTTCCTTTCTCACTTCTCCTTACAAACAGCCCATGGTGTGCTGAAGGCCAAGCGATCAGGCACCAGCTATATCTCACCTAGTCCTGTATGATTTTGAGACTCTGGCTCTGTTGATTGGAATTATTGAATGTGACATTTTGAGGAATCATCTGGGAAAGAGCAATATATGAATTTAAAATCAGCTTGATTTTTAAAAGATGCAAGTTTGTTTATCTGGTGAGCCCTACATCTCTAACAATTGCTTATTTACACTTAGAAAATATTTGGTTGAAGCCGGGCGCCAGTGGCTCATGCTTGTAATTCTAGCTACTCAAGAGGCAGAGATCAGGAGGATCATGGTTCAAAACCAGCCTGGGCAAATAGTTTGTGAGACCCTATCTCAAAAAAAACAACACATAAAGGGCTGGAGTGGCTCAAGGTGTAGACCCTAAATTCAAACCCCAGCACCACAAAAAAAAAGAAAAGAAAAGAATATATTTGGTTGAAGTGGTCTGACTCCCTTGACCCTAGGACTAATCTAGTTGGTGAGGAAGATCATGGTAAGTCTACATGTAGAAATTTTTTTCAGTGGCTTTGTCTTTTAATATCACATCAGCTCAATCTGACCCATATCCTGAGTCCATGTGTCGGATCAGGAAGGTGTTTGCTTTTCGTGTGGTGAAGAGAATGACTTGTGTGTGGTCAGGACCTGTGATGTCAGGCTCTGTGTATGAACAACTCTTGCAGAGACTGTTCAGCCTCCGCATGGCTGGAGAACCAAATACATTGCATACATGCAGCTGACGTGACAAGTTTTACTTTCTGACAGCGTGTTTAAAGACCTCATCCTAACCTGCAGCTGATGAAAAAGCCTGGGGCTGTTGTATCACATGACCTGCCCAATGAGGGATGGGCTTGGGTGCCATTATCATTCTGTAAAACAATTTCTTGCTCCATGGTAAACACATTAGGGCCTTGCTTTTGCAAACAACCACATCCTTTATGTCTCCTCTCCCTTC